CTCACAAAATGGATTATAGAGCAGCCATAAATTAATAGAAATTAATTATTATTGTTTTTTAAAATATATGAACCTAGTCAACATGCTGTTTACTAAGCACTAAAGGTTGTTATTGTAAAAAATCAATAAAATATATTTTTTTAAAAAAATGAAGGTGAAACCTTCTATGCCGCTTATAAATCTTATGATCTTTCTGCACAGAAGTGCTTTATTCCTCCCTTGAGGAGCAAAATGGCAACAGGCAGGAAAAGAGATCCAATTTGGGAATATTTTAATGAAGTTCCTCTACTTATGGATAAAGCAGGTATGCATACAAAATGCAAGCAACGCAACAAAGAAATGCAAGGCCTGATGGCCCAAATGAAACAACTTCATGAGAAGTGCTGTGATGAAAGGACCATGTTTGAAGAGGCAGGGCCTTCAGGTTGGTAAACTGTTCTTATTTCACCATATTTTTTAGACTGCCATGAGGTATTGTTATGCTAAAGCAATAATATATATCTGCTAATATATATCTGCATGGCACTGCATTTTTATACAGTTGCCAAAAAAAGAAATGAGTTGAAATATGCAAATATTCCTTTTTAGGCTGTACTGTGTGTGAATACAATGAGGAATTCACAATAAGCATACATTGTTTAAATAATAAAATAAGAGCATTGACTTTTTTGTATAGGTGAAACCACCATCAGCATAAAAGATTCTGGAAACTATCCACTTTCTAAATTGCCATCCTCTTATTTTATAGTTTCAAAGTTATCTCTCCAGGATAGTGCATCAATCACATCATTTACACATATCCGCAATATATGACCTAAAAGAAAGATGGGTGGAGTAATGTCCACAATAATCCTATTGTATGTGGTTGTATAACAACAGAAGAAGGAAATGTATTCCTTGCAGAAACAATTGATACTTCAGGAAATGCAGACACAGCAGCATACTTAGAAGAAGTAGCAGTAAAAGTTATCATAACATGCAAAAAAAATTCAAATGTCAAGTACACAGTTTGGTCACAGACAATGCTGCAAATGTGTCCAAAATGAGAAGAAATTTAGAACAACATGAAGAAACTACCAAGCTAATAACATATGATTGTAGTGCTCATTTGGTACACCACCTAGCCAAAGATTTTTGTGTCCCAGAAATAAAGAATAATGTTGAAATTGCTAAATGCTTCCGTAACAATAATTTTGCAACATAAGCTCTGAAAATAATGGGTGGAACCAAGCTAATGCTCCTACAAGATGTTAGATGAAACTCTGTAGTGAACTGTTTTGAACAATACATAAAAAACTGGTCTATTCTGATGACTGTTTATGAGCAAAATTGAGAAAAAATAGATGGCACCACTACAGCCCAAATCCTCAACATTGGGCTTAAGAGAAATGTTGAACATATGCTGAGCATCCTGAAACCCATTTCTGAAGCTTTAAACAAAATCTGGAAAAATAGTTGTTTTATTGCTGATGCTGTTGAAATTTGGAAGGAACTGAGTGAGCACTTAAAAACAGAACTACACACTGACAAGCAGAAGTTACAAGATTTAAAAAGGCAAATAGGACAAGCACTGTCTCCAGCTCATTTTCTCGCAAACATTGTCAATATCCTGTACAAGGGTCAAACCTTAAGTGCTGAAGAAGAAGAGTTAGCTATGACATGGGTATCCAGCAATCATCGATCTCTAGTGCCAACTATAATGAACTTCAGAGCTAAGGGGAAACCATTCAAGAAATATATGTTTGCTGATGAGGTTTTAAAGAAAGTTTCACCAGTGAACTGGTGGAAGTCACTTAAGTACTTGGATTCAGAAAGTGTTGAAGTAATTATTTCGCTTTTAACCACAGTGGCCTCTTCTGCTGGCTTGAAAGAATATTCTCTTCCTTTGGACTTGTTCACTCTAAATTGAGAAATCATCTGGGGCCTGATAAAGCAGGAAAGCTTCTTTTTCTTTTCTAGATCATGAACAAACAAGAGAACGAAGATAAAAATGAGTGAGCTGCAGAAGACCATGTTTGAAGTTTTTTTTTAATGTAGACCCAGCTGATACATTCAGTTTAAGTTCTTTTGTTTGTTTTTTGAAAGATATTTTGTTTATGCACTTCACTTACTAAACATACCGTATATGCCGGCGTATAAGGCGACTTCCGGAAGCGCTAAAATCGGCACCAAAGACGGGGGTCATCTTATACACCGGGTCGTCTTATACGCCGGAAACACTGGTAGTTTCCGGCGTATAAGATGACATTCTAGGAATGCGGCTCGGCAACAAAGACGGGGTCGTCTTATACACCGGGTCGCCTTGTACGCCAGCATATACGGTATGTAATATAATGTTATTGTTTTAATTAAATAAAAGAATTTGAGTAGTTCTCCAACTATGTGTGATTAACCTATTAACCTAAAATCGGTTCTGATATCGCTGTTTTACTAACCTGACAGCTTATTATTCTAAATAGGAAACCTTCATTTTGTTTGCAAATAGTAATATTCAAGATTCTAACTACCAGCAAGAATGAGTCCTTACATTTAAAGAGCACCTGTCATTTCAGATCCATCATGGCAGCCCATTAGCAGGCATCCACTCACCTGCTGCCTGCTACGTCCCTCATCGTATTGTGTCACTGCCGCATCACCAGCCGTTCCATTAAAGTGAATGAGACTGTCGGGGAGTCAACAGCAGGTCAGAGGAAGAGCCACTGTAGGACAGAGATGACAGTTGCTCTTTAAAAATTATGATTTAAATCGAGTTGATTTAAATCAAGCCTTTTTGCTAATGATTTAAATCATAATTTAAATTGTGATCTAAATCGACTTAATTTAAATCAAATCCATCCAGTCATCTCAGAACCATTGTACCATATCTTTCAAAAATCCTGGAGCACCAGGGAACTACCTAAGGATTGGAAAAGAGCTGATGTACTCATCTTCCAAAAAGAGAGGGGAAAGCCAACAGACCCAGGAAACTAGACCAGTCAAGCTAACATCAATACCAGGGAAGACACTGGAAAAGATCATCCAAAAACAGATCTGCAAACAGATCTAGAAAGTTTTGCCTTTCTTGGGGTTGCTTCTGTCTTGTGAAGTATGTGTTGACTCATTTTTTCAAAATGGTTAGAGGAGTTTGTTTGCAGAGTATATTTAAGCTATGCTTTATCTGTGGACTCTTTAAATGCCAGTAACATTTTCTTTAAAATAAATTACTGTTTTATATTGTATTACACTTAAAGTTGCTTTAAGCACTAGGACAGATAGCAACAGCTCAGAATAAACAATATATATAATGACAATTCTTGAAAGCCAAATAAGTGGCCATTAATATGGTAGTATAGATGCTAATATATGGAATATATGTATTTTTATTAAAATATGCTGACCACTGTCCAGTTACAGATGTATAATGTAATTTCTTGATAAATAACAATTTAGTCATTTTATATTTTTTAAAAGGTAGTATATTAAGATCATTTTGGAAAGCTGAAAAAAGGTGTCATAATTTTCTCACTATTGCCCAATTTGTTCTATATAAATATAGGAAGAGATTACTGGAAAATGATAGAATATAGCATTCCATCTACATGAATGGATCTTATATGTTTGTTTTTTTATTTTATTATATGATATTCATAGATTGACATAAAAATAGAAAGTTTCTGAATGGTTTGCAAGGAAAATAACAGCTAAAAAATGATTGTGATGTGATTTATATAAAAGGTGATTATGATGTGATTGATATTATGATTTGGTAAATAAACAATACTATATTCACATGGTTGCCTAGGTCAAAAGCTCATTGAAATAAAACAATGGTTAGGACCTTTATGAATACAGGCAAGATTGGACCAAGGTTCCCTTTGGGACATCATGTCCCATAGTATAGGTCTAGTAATGAGAACCTTCATCTTCTGGTCCACACCCATGTCACCTCATATGGAGTCAGATTTCTCTTAATGGCAAATCAGACTGGCAGAATTAGGCTTGGTAAAATGGTCCGATTATAATCCAGTATCAAATTGCATAGAGCTTTATAGCACTTTTTACTGTTTTGGGAAGTCTATTGGCAGCCAGTGCAGCAACTTTTGAATGGGTGTGACCAATTATCTGGAAGATTTGATAACCTCCTGATTGAACCTCTCCAGTGTTCTTTAACTGGGGATGCCTTTGGAAATGACTCAGACGTTGGTGCTGGTGCAGAGGGCCACAATAGCAGATCCTCCAGAGTCCAGAAACATTTGCAGGTCACACACTAAGGCTGATTATTTGATAGTCATGATGCTCACTGACCAATAGAAACTTTGTCTTGATAGTATTTAGTCTTATACCCATTTAGTCCCATAATAGCCCAGTGGTTCCAGAGCTAAAAGTTTTTAGATCCTGTATTAATGCTGAGTTACCCTTGATTGTTATGCATATTTTTGTCCCCATGTTTGGGGTGCTCTTATTAATTCAATTCTCTTCAAGAATTGTGTTTAGTAATAGTACTACTAATAGTAGTTTTAATTGCTTTTGTCTTTTTTATATACCAGTTTATGTTTCTTCCTCCTCCAATTGAAGTCTTCTCCATCCTTTCCTTCCCAATTGCATGTAGATGGATGTGTATACACAAATGTAATTACAGTAAGCTTGCCAGCTTATGGTAACCTATCACATGCATCTGAGAAAGTGAATTCTAGCTTATTATAAGCTTATTCAGTAATAAAATGGTTATTGTTTAAGATGCTGAATAACTTTTTAAAAAGAACAGATTATTTTATTTGGAAATTGTGACTAGAACAGTGTTTCTCAACCTTGACAATTTTAAGGCATGTGGACTTCAACTCCCAGAATTCCACAGCCAGCAATGCTGGCTGTGGAATTTTGGTAGTTGAAGTCCACATGCCTTAAAATTGTCAAGGTTGAGAAACATTGGACTAGAATGTAACATAAATTAGAAATTTGTAGTATAGCAACTCTCATTACTATTTGAATTCAGCTGTGAACAAAAGCATTTTTTTCTGCAGGTATTTAAGCCATATCAAGCTTCTCAGCATGACATGTGTCGCTTTCATTCAGAAGATTATATTGACTTCCTTCAGAGAGTTAGTCCTAACAACATGCAAGGATTCACCAAAAGCCTCAATGCTTTCAATGTGGGAGATGACTGGTTAGTATTGTACATCATTTAGGTGAATAAGAAGGGTGAGAAGGTACAAAGTTTAAATGTTTTTGAGATTGCATGAGAAATGCCTCCCATGGGATAAAATTTATATATTTTTGGTATATTTAGGTTACACTAAAAATTTGGTACCTAACAACTTAACCATTTATCCAGATAATTAGGAGACTTAACAGTTTGTCTCCTGCCAAGGACAAGGTAGTGCTCTCCTCCATTTCATTTATAGAAACCAGCTGAACTAACAAATGTTTAATTGGTAATGAGACTGAATCCTCAACTGCACTTGAAGGCAACAGGATAATTTAAGGAATGCAAGACAGGTTGTGTGATATATTAATATATCACACAATTAATACCACTCTTCAATGCCTTGGTAAGGCCACACTTGGAATACTGCATCCAGTTTTGATCACCACGATGTAAAAAAGATGTTGAGACTCTAGAAAGAGTACAGAGAAGAGCAACAAAGATGATTAGGGGACTGGAGGCTAAAACATATAAGGAACGGTTGCTAGAATTGCGTATGTCTAGTTTAACGAAGAGAAGGACAAGGGGGGACATGATAGCAGTATTCCAATATCTCAGGGGCTGCCATAAAGAAGAGGGAATTAAGCTATTTTCCAAAGCACCTGAAGGCAGGACAAGAAGCAACGGGTAGAAACTAATCAAGGAGAGAAGCAACTAGAACTAAGGAGAAACTTCCTGACAGTGAGAACAATTAATCAGTGGAACAGCTTGCCTCCAGAAGCAGTAAATGCTCCAACACTGGAAGTTTTTAAGAAGAGACTGGACAGCCACTTGTCCGAAATGGTGTAGGGTTTCCTGCCCGAGCAGGGGGTTGGACTAGATGACCTCCAAGGTCCCTTCCAACTTTACTACTATTATTATTATATAGGTAATCCCCGAGTTACAAACGTTCACTTAACACTCGGTGTTAAGACAACTGGTTGTCTAGTCTCTTCTTAAAAAACTTCCAGTATTGGAGCATTCACCGCTTCTGGAGGCAAGTTGTTCCATTGGTTAATTGTTCTAACTGTCACCCTATTTCCCACCCCCCACTCTCCACAAATGCTTCCCCCTTCCTTACTGCCATGCGGGACTCACCTTGCAAAAATCTGTATCCTCTCTGCCTTTCCCTTTGAGGGAAAGGAGAGTCAGCTTGGAAATGCGTGGAATCAAAGTTGGCTGGGCACAGGAACCAATGCCATCTGTGACCCAGTTGTGCTGCTTGCTCACATCCACTGGTCTTAGTTTGAGGGCAGGAAGGAAGCCTTCAACTAAGTGGTGGGGAGGGGAAATCATAGTCGCTCAGGTAGCTGCTGCTGTCAGTGGCTTGAGTGCCCCGGTTCAGTCCATGTTGGAAGAAAGTGGAGGCACGGCAGCGGGATTGCTCTCAATAAAACTTGGGTGTGCTGCTAGCTCGCATGCACTGGGCTTATTGAGAGCAATCCCACTGCTGTACTTCTGCTTTCTTTCAACTAAGACAGAACCGGAGCACCCAAGCAGCTGCCGCTCAAACATTTTTTTCCGAACGGAGACCTGACAGAGATTTGAAGGTCCATTTGTCTGTCAATGGGGAGCTTCAGAAATTGAGAGGAATGCTCTGTTTCTGAAGCGCCCCATTGGCAGGCAGACAGGCTGTGCCTCCTCTTTCTTCCAACTTGGATGGAACTGGGGCACCCAAGCCACTGGCAGCAGCAACTACCTGAGCGACTATGATTCCCCCTCCCCACCATTCAGTCGAAGGCTTCCTGCCTCAAACTAAGGCCGGCGCACATGAGCGAGCAGCATATCCAGGCCATGGGCGGCATTGGTTCCTGCGCTTGGCTGACTCTGATTCCTCGCTTTGTCCCATAGGCGTGCAAATGAAGCAAACACTTCCCTCCCCCCCAGAGAATGGAAACTTCTGGGGGGCATGATCTCTTTTGCAGAGAATGGGTGTTTGAACTCACATGATATTACGGTACCCAGGACCTTCCATTGTCGGCCCGAAAAGCATTTCCAATCTGACTCTCCTCTCCCTCAAAGGAAAGAAACTGCAGCAGAGAGGATACAGATTTTTGCAACGTGAGCCCCACGCGGTAGGAGGGGAGGAGAAAGCATGAGGTATCTTAGTGGGTCGGGGAATCTTTGGGGGCCTGTTCCATCACTAGGCCCCCCCATGGCCTTCCCCACCGTGAGATGCCTCATATGCACTTAACAAATTGCACATTCACCCACACTCAATTAGTGAAAGCGTGGGTGAAAGCAGTTAGTGATCTCATTCAAGGTACGAGATTCACCCCCACAAATTCTTGAGTTACGAATGGAACAGGCAGGTTCCATTACATTCGTAACTCGAGGACTACCTATATACATACTTGTGTTCTCAAAGAGAAAAGAATGCCGGGAAGCTCAGAAGGAACAGCTGGGCAATAGCAACTTCTTCCCCTCTCAGATCTGCTACATAAAGATGTTGCTTCATTCTGCCTTAAGTTGATCATGCTAGACTTGGGGATCCCAGTGTTGTCTCCATAACAACAGACATCTCCATGCCCTCAGTACTCTCTGCCATTTTTTTTTTCATTTTAGTTAGGAAATTTTGAATGGGTAAGTTCTTCCCCTGAACAACCATAGCTCTCAAGATATAAAATATATCTAATGCCCCAAAATTTTAGATCTTTGAAATCTTAAGAAAAATATGATGTTTTAAATCTCCACACTTGGTGTTTCTACACAGAAATGCATTTGTACAGATATAGGTAATCTTTTTGAGAGAAAGACTAGTACTAGGATCATGAAGATCCAGTGTTACCTCTAGGTTGGGGTTACCATTACTGCAAATACTTGTTACAGGGGGACCAATGGTATGAAAGGAACATAGTTCCATCTCCTGTATATGCATATCCCAGAATCAACTGGTGGGTGACTGTAAGTAACAAAATGTTACTTACAACATGTTTTGGCTTGATCTAGAACAGGGATGTCAAACTGCCGGCCCACGGGTCAGATGCATCATAGCGAAACCGCGCCCACCCCATTGCCAGCAATGGCAAAAATGTCGTGATACGTCACGACACGTCATGCAACGTTGCGAGTTTGACACCCCTGATCTAGAAAGTGTGTTTTTTCTTCAAAATGAAGAAATGTCATCTATGTCCCACAGCAATTGAATGGTAATCTAATTATTAGAGTTCGGTTAATATGGAAATGATTATATGTATTCCCAGATTCAGCTTATGGCCAATCATTTACACACAGCCTGTTGAAGCACACAGATCTTGTAAGCCCTTCTTGCTTTATATCTGGGTTTTCCAGATAGGTGCTGGTACACCAGACAGGACATACAGCTTTCAACAATAGCAGGAATCAATTAGGGATACACTCAGATTTTCAACTAAACATTGTGACACAACAGGTTCTTTGGAATACACAGAGATTCAGTGGATTTAAAGTAACAGCAAACCTTTACTAGTAACAATTGGCATTTGATCTTTCCCACATGTGCATGCCAAAACATACTCTCATACTTGCCCATGTCCTTCTCAGCTAGACTGTCAGGAGCTAGCCAGAGGAACAAAAGCTACCACGTCTGTATCCAAACACAATTCAAAAGAGTGGGCAGAATTCAGAACCATTTTTATCCCCCAAAGTTCTTAAATTCACAACATTGGCAGATCTTGATTTGTTGATTTTCAAGTCTGGTAGTTGTTGATGGGACTTTGGGGGAATGTTCTATGTGCTCAGGCTGAACTTCTTTTGGTGAATTTTTTTCTTTGTTTCTTTAATGATTTGGCTCCTTCTTAACTACCTCCCTAAGGGATATTTTAGACAAGGTTCCTGGCTTTTGTCCATCTTGCTTATGTGCATGCTTCATCTGTAGGTATGTCAGCTTCATCCTAGTCTCACAAAATAAAGTTTAATATGGAAGTAAGTAGGACAGGTAACTAATGAGTAAAACAAAGAGTTAACGAACTGATGTTTAAAAATAAAGTTAAAAAGCAAAATAGGCATATAGAGAGACTATTGATTTGATATTTTTTATTAAAGATGGGTGCAAGAGGCAATCATTTTAGGTGTTCTGGTAAACCTATTGCAGAAAGTAGATCTAGCCAGAATTATCTCATTCCCCACCAAGACATCTTTCTAATGTGCTCGATTGCAGGTTCCAAAATGTTCACATAGTAATTACAAATAAAATCCAACATGTCTTTCTAATTTAAAAGAAACTGTTCTGTGGTCTGTGTGAGATGTCTTTAGCCCATAATGAAAAATTCAGCAGATAATCCACTGACAGAAATCAAATCTTGACTAACCAATGCAGATTCATGCTTTAATTAAATTTAATGTTTGATTTCTGCAAAAAACATGGCAGCTAGGAAGGTTGAAAATAAATTATCACCTATGTCTGAATAATGTTTCTGTTAGTGAGAAAAGGATAGAACACAAGGATAATGAGTTCTTTACTCATTTTCAAGTACAGATTATTTCATCTCACTGAGTGCTAACAGCACTATTGAAATTTAAACATTTCAGTTTATTGTAGATGAGTAGGCATGCATAAAGCATACTGTTGTGGGTAACATCAGAACATCTTGGAAATGAAGAAATGTCTTTAACTATCACTGGAATGGCATGCTTGCATTCTTGGATTATGGGATATTCCCAAATGCTAAAAATGATAATCTTCTGTGTATATAATAAGTGGCTTATCTAAATTTCAGAATGATTTGATCTGTATTTATATTGACAGTGTTTATCAGTAGAAATGCTGGTACAATAAATTATCATTGTGTAGAAGTCCAGATTTGACAGGGAGTTGTACCTGCTAACAACTCTTAAAAAGTTGTATCTCTTCTTGATCTCATATGGTGGCCACTGCACCATCACAGGAACTGAAATGTTTAAAGTGGAACTTGAGCATCTATACATGCTTCAAATATTTTTTTCATCTTCAAATTCAGTTTGTTGCACAATCACAAAATATATTGGGATTCTTTAGAAAATCA